TGTATACAAAGTAAGCACCCTGGCTTCCTGCTGAGTCACTTAGCCAAACCTCTAGACTCCCCAAGTTGACACAATGTATCAACCATAACACAAGGGCATGCCTAAGGCCAGCCTTTAAAGTGTCCATGCTAACAGGTACACAGGAACACTGCACTGTTCTTTGGACCTTTCGTTAAGTTTGAAATTAATTCAACATAAAAGTGATGCCTAACGTGACGCTGTGAGCTGGCCATGGTGGCACACACCTGTAACCCCTGGGAGGCTGAGGGAGGAGGCCTCAGGTAAATCAACAACTTAACAAGTGCTTGTTTCGAAAAACCTGGGTGTGTAGCTCCATGCAAAAGCCCTGGGTCAGTCTCTGCTACTGCAAAAATGTGCTTCTGTATTTCTAAACACTTTTTTAAAACAGTAACTTCACTCAGATATGCTTGGCATAAAAACTGAACACATTAGAGGAGTTTAGATGTATGTATACATCCACAGAACTGTCACTACAGTCACGGAAGCAAATAGGTCTGCCAACCCTTGAAGTTCTCTCCAGGCTCCATTTTGAGTGCTAAGGTCATTTAACACAAACTTGTAAGATTTGTCCTCTTCATAAAATTTTAAGAGTACAAAACAGTATTATGAAAGTAAGTGCATGCGGCTGGGGATTTAGCTCAGTGGCACAGCACCTGCTTGGCAAGCGCAAGGTTATGAGTTCGATTCCCGGTACCGGGAAAAAAAAGAAAAAAGAAAGTAAGTGCTTTCTGTTCTTTTGGGAGGGACTTTTTTTCCCTTTCTTTTTATAGCCTCTTTCATTTGCCTGACATGCAATTTTGGTTTTGCCTAATTCCCAGCATACTCATACAGAAACTTCCTGTGACATGGTAATAAAGATAGAAGATCAGCAACCGTGGGCGGAGTGCTTTTGAACTTCCCTTTTATTTCCTTTGACCTGGACACCTGCATCCGGGATGCTATCCCTGTAAGTTCGTCATGACAGTGCAATAGGAAATGGCAATCTTATCAGGCTTCCTGGAACAATTGAAGCAAAGTTCCCTTTCCAGTGCTTCCCGGGGTGTCCACCCAATGGGAATTCATCAGCAGGTGGCTGAAAGGGGTGTTAACTTCATGGCAGAAGCAGCGCTGTGCTCGTATTTATTAACTGCCCTCCGCAGAGTGGCAATTTCCCTGGAGACCGTGCCTCCCAACAACGTAATATGTCTCCCGCTTCAGGAAGACATGTCATTAGCTGCAGAACTATCCATCATGTGGCTGGCTGCAAAGTGTCTGCTATTTTGCTGATGCCAAATGAATGCAGAATTTCTCAGAAGGAAATAAATGAATCACCCAAAAGAATGAGTGCAGAAGGCAGTTCACAGCCTTCATAGAGAGTAGGACCGGATAACGTCAGGAGAAAAGCCTCCCACAGGGTGCACCACAGCATGGCAGGTATGGCAGGAGGACCGGGGTGTCAGGGAGCGCGGTAAGCAGGGCACACCCCATGTTAGCAGTTCTGAAAGCCTGGAGTTGACCAGGAAAACAGCAAAGATTCTTTTGAAGATTATCAAAATGGACTCCAATGGCGGTAATCAAAAGATCATCAGTTGCCCTAAAAGAGATAAGTAATAAAGGGAGAAGTTATTGTTCATTGTTTTAAACTTGTGCTAATTTGTAGTAGAGAGACTACTATTCCTAAAACACCGCTGGAGATGCGGAAGAGTAAGGACGGGTGGATGTGTAGTAACACTGACTTCTGAGCGCTGAGTCTGCAGGCCAGGGTTGCTGCGGAGCAGACAGGCTGTGTTCCTCTTCCTCTGGGCGTGCTGGTGGTCTTCTGACTCAGCTGTTGCTGAACGGATAACACAGAAAGACATTGTCACATTTGAGCCGACTTGTGTGTGCTCGCAGAAAAAGAAGGAACTCAAAGGACCTACTGTGGTAACAGGTGACTTGGGCAGGAGATTGTGGTGTACCCCTGTGGGGAATCTCCTCCCTTTCCATGCCTTGCCATGTGGGTTGTGCAGATTGGTCAGGTGGTAAAAGCAGCTGGTCTCCAACACGTGTAAAAGCAGCAGTGGGGTCAGAGACTGAGATGAGAGTGGGAGAGACACGACAGGAGGAGAAAGGAGAAGAATATGAACACCAACCGATCGACTTCCATGTTTAACTGTGGTCAGCCTGCGCCATGACTCTGTTACCTGGACACTTGGGCTCCCTGGGACATCGTTCCCTCACCGTTTGTGGCTTAACCACCTCCTAATGCCCATGTTTCTAGTAGCACAGCTCAAAACTGCTAAGTCTTGGAAGCAGCCTACAAGTCCATAGATAAAGGAAATGTGGTATTCCATACAAGGGAGTACTACTCTGCCATAAAGAACGATAAACCTGAGTCATTTGTAGGAAAAAGCATGCATCTTGAGACTAAAATGTCAAGTGAAATAAATCAGACACATAATCTTAAATATTACATGCTTCTCTTATGTAAGAAACCCAAATTGGGCTTGGGATATAACTCAGTGGCACAGCACCTGCCTGGTAAGCATGAGGTCCTGAGTTTGATTCCAGGTTCCAATAAGTTCATAAATAAGAAACCCAAATTTTAAATAAGGAGCAAAATGAGAACCAATAGGAAGTGGAGAAACAGATCTTCTCAAATGGGAAAGGGATCAAAGGCTGCAAAGAGGGGAGGGGTGGGAAAGAGGTGAAAAAGGAAGTGAGGTGTGTTCCATGAATGCACCAGCCCCACACAAGGAGTGTAAACACATGACCTGCACACATGTGCTAATAAAAGAAAGCTGCTGAATCTGTTTGCAAAGCCAGGAACAACCTAATAAAACTTATAAGGCATAGCCATTTTCATTACAGTCACATTTCACAAACTCTGAATTCTGTCTGGGTGAAACATGCTCCACCCTTCCATCTGTCTCCTTGCTTTGTATGCATCACCTGCTCCATAGCAGCCAGAATGAGCAGGAATTTGGGGTCCAAGTGTGACTCTAGCAAGCACTTGTTCAGCACAGAAGAGGAGAAAGGCTGGCAGACACTTCCTGGGAATAACTCTGCCCCCATCTCAAAGTTCAAGGTCACCTTGAAAGAGACCTGCTTACAAAACTGGAAATACATGAGTTTCCTGTGTTATGCTCTGAACAGAAAAATAACACCAAATAGGAAATATGGTTTTTCTTGCTCTTGTGGTGATATATTTATTTGTTCTTATTTGTTCAGTTTGCTCTGGGCATTTGGCTTTTTAACTGTAATTTAAAAGCCAAGATAATTTTTGGGAGAAAGAAACCATGGACAAATATGTAATGCCCTTTAAATTCTAAAGAACTACAATCCCAATGAAAGTATAATATATATTATAGCCATAATGTCTTAGATTTGATGATATCTGTTTTGCATAAGCCAGCCAATTTCACTGTGGGAAATCTTTGGGAGAAAAATACATCATCCACTGAAGAAGTGCTCAGGTTAACATTTACTTCTTACTGTGTCCTAAAGTTGAGCAGTTTACGAGTTATTCACACTGAAGGTCTCCATTGCTGAGTAGTTACTTTGTCTAGCACCACGGGATCCCCCCTCTGTAAGTCACTGTGACACGGCATCACCAAGGTCACATATATGTGCTGTCATCTCTGAGGAATACCTGGGCTCACGGGACAGTGTGAAATGGTTTGGAAAAAGTTATTTCAAATAACTTTTAAGGAACTTAACCAAGTCATTTCTATTTTTTAGCAACCCTAATTTTAATCAAATCTTCTGATTTCCTTCATTGAAATATTGGGGTAACTAGAAGGTTTTTAAGGCAATAGTAATTTTTCACAAAATAAAGACAGAGTACATGATAATTCTCCATAGAGAATGTCGGTTTCCACTACATCTTCTGTATTCTGCCCATATGTTCCATTTGTCATTATTAGATATGGTAGTGACAGTAAGAAAAAATAAATATACAGAATACTTGGGAATTCAGTTTATTTGAGTATTCATTTAAATATTCTCTGCTGGATACTGGAACCTTATCGTGATATACCAACCACACTGCATTAAGAAACACCTAGAAGATTAGTAAATCACAGTCCTGAGCATGCTGGGGTGGCTCCTGGAGGTGTAACTTTGGGGTATGTATCTGGACCCTTGCACCTTCATCTTGGGTCATTCCTCTGCTCTGATTCTCAGGCAGAAACTGAGCAGCTTTGCTGCATGTGCCCTTCTGCCATGGTGTTCCTGCCTTGGAGCCAGCCGACCATGAACTGCATCTCCTGAACTGTGAGCCAATTAAACCTCCCCTCCTTTAGGTTGTGGGAGTTGGGCATTATGTCCAGCAACAGCAAAGCTGACTAATTTATACATTTCATTAAACATATCACAGCACATTTTAATTTTATACATATAATAATGTATGTTTAACTAATACATTCATATATTTTGTCTGCGTAGGTAAATTTACCTTTAGAATGATAAATAGATTATTTCATTGTCTGCTAGCTTCCAGTGTTGCTGATGAAGAGTCAGAAGCCATGGTGATTCTTGATTTTTGGCATATATTATCTTTTTCTCAATAAAGGAGACAGAATTGTCTCTGTTTCCAACAGTGTCAAAATTCTATAGTGGTTTACATTAGTAGGACCACATTTTTATTCATTGTGTTGGTATTTGGTGGGGATTTCAAAGTGAGAAAACGTCTTTTACTTACTGCAAAATCATAAAACATTTATTTCTTTTCCTCTTATTTGTTTATTATTTTGGTATGGAGCTTCAGTTAGTTAGATGTTGACTTTTTAAAATGTTCCTTTTATTCTCTTTTCTTAACTGATGTGGATTTACTAATACCCCCTTTTCCATAGCTATTAGTTTCCCTGGGGAAAGGCAGCTGAATTCAGCCCCTTTCTGCTCACAGACGAACGGCTGTAGGCAGAGGAATTCTTTTTTTTTTTTTTTTTTTTAAAGATAAAAGGAGGGAAACATTAACAGACATACAACATTTTACAACATATCACAAGCACAATACAGACAATACAGAGTTACAAACAAAGTGGTAGGGAATTAAGAATGGTGGTTGTATTACATATTGATATCTTCAAAGTGGCTTCTCATGAAAACAGATATAGACATGCAATACTGGTCAACCAAAGACTCATTGACAGTTTCTTTCAGCATAGAAACAGCAGATAGAAGAACAACCATGTTATCTATCCTGTATATACATACATACAAAATTTCTCCTTCGTTCCCTTCTCTTTTCCCACATCCCAGAAGCCCTTTACTCTTCAGTGGTTTCCTATCATTTCACAGTGTCTATCATACCTCCGAGTTTAAATTAACTCTTTCAAGTTACAGAGGAATTCTTTACAGAGACCAAGAGCCGCGAAGGCTATGCTGGCCTTGCGCCTTGTGTGGACACGTTCGCCTTGCTCGGCCAGAGCGCATGTGCAAAGAGCCAACCACCAGCTTCCTGCCAGGAGGCTCCTGGGAGGGCTGAGTTCTTCCCGCCACAGCAGGGCGTGCTGTGTGTTTGCCGTGTCACTCCTGTAGCTGCCCTGTGGCCCCGCCATTGTGGGAACCACAGTGTGTGTCGGCCCTGAGGACTGTTATCCTCCTTCCAACCCTGGCCACCCAGACTGGAGCCCCAGGGAATGGTGAAACAGTCTCCCTAGAATGTTCATGATGGAGCTCGGAGTTTACCTTTTCCTGCATACTCTGTTTATCTAAAGCGTTCTTTTTTCTGCTTACCTCCTGAGGCCGTCCTGGACAGTCCCCTCAGATGCCCGTTCAGCTGCTTCCACTTGTGAGTAGCCACTTGGAGTGGTGTTTGGAAACAGAGCACTGGGTGTGGGCTGTGAGCTGCACACCTCCCTGAAGAATGTCCTGGCTGCGCTGCTTCCTTGGGAGAACTCACCCCACAGAGTGCTTCTGTTTGCGCGGGTCCTCAGACTCCAGCTGGAGAGCAGCAGCCTAGGGGTCCTCACCCTGGGCAGGTGAGCCAGGCAGAAAGGCTGCACGGAGGGGGCAGGCATGAACCTGTGTAACAGTGGCAGGAATGCCAACAGGCATTGCGCACACGTAAACTCAGTCCAGGAAGCACCAGCCATAAAGATCTGGAGAAGAAGGATAAAATGTAGAATTTAGGGCTTAAAGGAGTAAAGGTTCAGGAATTGCAGCTGGAAGGACAGAAGAGGAGACACTGAGGGCCTCAGCTTGAAGCACAAAAGTGGGCAACTCTTAAAATCTTGCAGGAAAAGAAAATCACTGTATTTCCAAGAATACAGAGAGCAGTGCCCACCCTCAGAGAGCCGAGCAGCTGCCAAGGGCTTGCTGAGAACTTCCTGCCGTCCCGGAGCCACCTCAGGCACAGACAGCAGCATCTCCAAATCACGGAGGCCTAGGACTGACTCGCAAACTCCAGCGGGAGCCTCAGAGAGGAGGGAACTCGGAGGACTCGCGGGGTGAGCTGGCTGCCCTGCGGATCCCGCACACAGCCCAGCTGCATTTACTCTGGACGAGCTGCGGTCACAGAGGGCTGGCACGGGCCTGGTGGGAATGGTGCTGACGGGCGCGCGGTGAGAGCAGTGACACACTGGGAGAGCTGAGAGAACCTGAGGACGGAAGCCAAAGGATTCCCTGTGTCTGAGTGTAGCATGGAAATGCGCCGCCTCCAGGCCAGCGGGAGGGGACAGCCAGCACAAACCAATGGGAGCAAAGGCTTCCGCACCCAGCCTGTGGTGCACAGCAGAGAACTTCAAGTCACTGTGGAGGAGAAACCAACACAAAGCAAAACAGCAGCGCAAACCCCGCCAGCCCCGAGCATCAGGCACCTGGGCTGGGGCTCAGGACACAGCCTGTAACACAACAATCGTCTCACGTCTCACGGATGGCAGCCCCGGGCACACCTGCCGTGCATCAGTGATAAAGCGAGACCAGGTTGTTCCTGCTCCTAGTTTTGTCTCAGCTGAGGAAAACATGGTCACCATGCCAAGCCCAAAACACTGCACACCTCCCTCTTCTCGTTAAAGTGCATGGCTGCCCGTGGTTCTTTACTCCGTAGCTCCCTCTGCATTTACCCGACTCTTCCCATGAAGTGTACTGAAACGCTTATACTAAAATTGCCTCCTTTCTGAAAGCGTTCAGCAAACAGCACACCCCTCCGCACAGCCACTGTTTCTCTCCACCTGCCCCAAATCCCTCACCGGAACCGCCCATTCCTGGGACAGACTCCTGTGGACGGTTCCAGTGTTCCCCACCATTACCCGCCATGAGGGGTCATGTTATGCCTGACGAGGAGACCAGCTGTCTGGTGAGACACCAGGCCAAGTGCTACTGGGAAGGTGCTGTTTCTGTAAACGTGATTAACAGATAAACCAGGAGGCGTTGTGTGGAGCAGACTCCTGGCCCTTGGGTGCACACAGCTCCCACTTTGGTGTTTGTTCTTCCAACGGCACAGGTCTGCAGACCTACTGTGCTTTACTAGATTGTGTTTCCAGTGGCCTCTTGAAAGACTTTGGTGAAATCCTCTCCTGTTTGCATTCTTTCATATAATCAGGATTGGAAGGGTATTCTGTTTCCTAATTTAACAGAAAATATAAAATAGTTGAGATTTTCCTTGTATTTAGTTTTTAATTTACTCCTCTACAAGAAGTAAATGCTGAGTATTTGCAAACAATAACCTAGACACTTTACATAATCAGTGAAGACTTCAAATTTAAAGTGTCAAATCAATTTAAAAGTATATCATTTTAAAGAAAATTGTGTGCCAAATCCCTATTACTTTAGTTCATAAAGTACAAATTAAGTACCTTGATCTTGTCAAGCCTAATGAAAATACTGTGAGAAGATAAATTGTTAAAATACAAAAGGAGTGGTAAATGTACCTCCCAGAGAATTAGAGATTTCTCACCAAGATTTGAGCTTCTGTCTCTCAAAACAGAGCTAGTACAGGAATTGCACATCTTGCTAATTCTGCTTAATGGACTTCCTATGTTCTGGACATGATTCTTTCCTTTCTTCTTACTTCCTGTACACACAACTTGAACAATTTGTCATTTTCCACTCTTGCACAGGACTTTAAGAACAATTTATGGGAACATCCAGTGTTAAGGTTTATGAGAAAATCAACCCTAATGGGAAATTGGTGAGTTCATTTACAGTCAGGAAACTACCCAGGAAATTCTCAGCTGTGAGCATCTTGTTGGGTTCCATGTCAGTGGCCAGTCTAGTGACTAAAGTACCTTTTACGTAACCAACTGAAAGAATAACAGCTTGCTCTTATCTACCACTGCCTACTGCGCTGCACGCCAGGCTGCGGCCACATCAGCTCCAGGAACAGATCGGGGTCAGGTCTCTTCTCCGGGAGGATGGAGACTTTCCAGAAAACCCAGGTGCTGCAGGAAGTGGCACAGTAGGTGCTGATCCTCCTTCGAGTCAGTCCGTGGCCAACTGCCCAGCACGGAGCAAGGGTGCGGTGTGGGACCTGAGGTAGGCTGGCACTGAACAGCGCTCGGGTCACAGCTCCTTACAGTGGAGTGGAATATTTCACAGGCCACCCATTTCCTGAGTCTCCTGGGTACACTTTTACGTAAGTCTCTTGCATCTTCTCTTATTCTCCCCGTACTTAATAAGAATTACAAACCTATTGCCAATTTAAAGACTTCTGGCTCTGAGTAATTAATACTGAGGCTTTCAAAGGAATCTTAAGAATCATTTGGCCTAAACCTTGATTCCATAATTATAAAGAGATCAAGTTGGGCATAGTAGCACACGCCTGTAATCCCAGCACTTGGGAGGCTGAGGCGGGAGGATTCCTGTGAGTTCAAGGCCAGCCTGGGCTACAAAGTGAGTTCAAGACTAGCCCGAAATGCATAGTGAGCACTTGTCTCAAAAAGGCCAAAAGCAAACAAAAGAGAAAAAAAAATCACTCACATAAGTTGTAAACTAGAGACTAGGCCAGATCTTCTGATATAATTCAGATATCCTGTCCACAGTTTTTCTCTTCTATTTCACACCCTCTCATGATCTTAACAATTTCTTTTAAATTCCAAAGAAGCTGTTTTACAGTCACTTACAGTATACTGTGAAGTGCTTCAACATAGTACTAGAGTACTTTTTCTTTTTTTTTCCATTCAACAAATACAGATGATATGTATTGCACATTAATTTGTGAACTTTAGGTTTGCCACAGACTAGGAAAAATGTCCAAGCATTTATTATGTCATAAGAAAAAACATTTTTCCACTAATTTGCTGTATTTATTAAATCACCTGATTTGTCCGTGAAGGCTGGGCTCTGCCAGATAATATCAGCACTGACGCTTTCTAAACCCATTTCTGTGTATTTCCAGATTGCTGACACCGACGTAGCTGTGGGTTTGGTCTCTGACTGCACATTGTTGCTGTTCTGTAATCCCAGCTCCTGAGTGGGCTCTGGCTTGACCTCGGGGCCCGGATGACTCAGCCGCAGCACCTTGGGGCCACTGGAGCTCAGGCTGTGAGCTGGCCGTCGGCTGGACCCCCCGGTAACCATCTGCCAAACAGGTCTGCGTTGTACCAGCCGACAGCAGAACTGTAGGAAAGCCGGGGCAGCAACCTTAAAAAGTCTTAAAAAACAAGGTAAGTGTGTTTTTCCATGACAGTTAACTGCTAATGGAAGGAAGAACCAAACGCTTTGATTTGAGGATTCATTCTCCATTAGGTAATATGATATCTGAAATGAGGACACACTATCATGTCAGAACACTTTAATTTGGGATCATACACTCTACTAAAATAAAGTGCATGTCTCTGGAGGAGAGTGGCACAAAATTTAATAAAGATAACTTGCTCAATACCTTATTCTTTTAGTGCCTACTCAGATTAATTATTCAAGGGGCTGGGGATTTAGCTCAGCGGCACAGAGCTTGCCCAGGAAGCACAAGGTAGTGAGTTCAATCCCCGATATGGGAAACAAAAAACAAAACAAAAAAAACAAATTAGTTATTCAGAATACAGATTGTGAACAAAGAAATCTCTTACAAAGAAGAAACACAAATAAAAGGACAAACTTTTCTCTTCAGTGAACAAAAAAGAAATTAGTAATATAAATGAAACCAACAAGTATATCTCTTAAAATATTTTTGAACAAGAGAATGAATAATTAGAGCAATTATTTGTGCTCTAACATTTTAGCCATGCTTTTAAGATCATGATACACACTTTATTAAATATTGTTTTCTTTTAATTATTTTGTTATGGAATTTTGTTTTATTTTTCAAAAAAGTGCTTTTTTATATTTTCTTTACTAATATCTGCTTGTATTAAATTAGAATTAAAAATAAAAAGAGGTCTTAATAAGCAGCGATGTATATTTTATTCATTTATTATAGTAAATAAAATGCAGTATAATAAAATACAGAGGAGTGGGCCGTCACCGAGCTTGACATATGCTAGTTGTATTCCTTCAGTTGTAAGTTGCACTCTTTTAAATTTTTGATTGACAATTTAAAGTCAGGGACCAGAACCTTGCGAGGCTGTGCACACAGCCACTGCCAAGCGCGGGCGTCGCGCCCGGACAGCACTCCCTGAGGTCCTTTCCCGCTCGGCGGGTGCACTCTGGGGATTTCAGGCACACAGGTCTTGCCCTCGGTGTGCCAGCCTCTGTGGGGAAGACAGCAGCTTTGTTCTGTGCTGGTCCTGCGGTCACCGCGGCTCTCCAGTGTGCGTCAGATCGAGCCACAGGGACGGTAGCCACACGAGGGGAGACTTTGGGGAGGTGGTGATGCTGTGGCTGAACATCACCGGGTAAGTATTCAGGCAAAAAAGTGACAAAGCCGACCTTTTCCAGGTGTGGAGACTACGGTTGCAGAGGCAGAGAAGGGAGACAGGCGCTTCCATCTCACTGCGACTCCAGTGTGTGTTAGAGTGGGACGGAGGACACCAGTTTCCCCTTCCGGCCGCCTGCAGAACTGTTGGACAGTCAGATGCCGAGGGGACGCAAGCCAGTGGCCACTCGCCTGGACGGCTCCACCTAAACCTGGTGGCTCTCGGCTGTGCTCTGTCCCCCTCCTTCCCATTCTTTCCTGGCCAGAGGCTGCTGACTGAGGCCCCATTGCTAGGTGCAGATGCGACGCCATCCATCCAAGTTGTAAGCAGCTTACAGGAGCAAACACTACCATGCGTTGCTCATTCTGCCTTTTGTCTGTTGGTTCTGCATTCTGACAGAGCCCTGATGTGGATGGGCTCCACAAGGTGGGTGGAACTTCTTGAGGGTGCTCGGTGACAAAGAGACAGAGCAGAGAGGCAGGTTCCGGAAGTCATTCTAACTGGTCCAGATTGGAAAAAGAACAAGTAGGGCAGCCTTAACATTGTCTGCTGAAAAAGGAGTGCGTTCGTGAAAGCACAAAAGACAGTGCCAAGGAGAGGAGAAGATGCACCTAGAAAACAGCCAGAAACTGAGCTGTTAGAACTGGGGACCACTGCGGTGGGCAGCTGAGAGGTGGCGGGCGGGCGCCAGAGCTGTGAGAATCAATCTGAACAATTCCCTTTCACAAACGCGCTGTTGGAAGTGGGGCCATCACATCTGATAGTCAAGCGGAGACTCGTGTAGGGCTGGTTGCCTGAGT